TTCTCGGCGGAGTCCGGGAAGTGAACACGGTTTCTGGGTTATGTTTGACGTAAGTAGGAGTTCAGGATCACTTCTTGATCATTACTAGTTGACGACCGTTCTACTTGCTCTCTTCTCGCTCTTATTTGCGTATGTTAGCCACCATATCATGCTTAGTCGCTGCTGCAGCCTCACCACTTTACCCCTTCCTTTCCCTTTAAGCTTTGCTAGTCTTGATACCCATGGTAATGGGATTGCTGAGTCCTCGTGGCTCATAGATTACTACAACAACAGTTGCAGGTACAGGTTATGCGATGATCATGACGCGAGAGCGATGCTTGCTTGCATTGAGTTCTTCTTCTGCTTCTTCGATCAGGGTATAGGTTCCAGGTCGGCAGCCTGGGCTAGCAGGGTGGATGTCGTTTGAGGTTCTGTTTGTGATTCATCCGTAGACGGATGATGCTCTCATGTATTGTAATGTTGAATTCGTGTGGCATTGTATGCCTTATGTATGTATCCCCATCTATTATGTAATGTTGATGTAATGATATCCACCTTGCAAAAGCGTTTCAATATGCGGTTCTATCCTTGGTGGGACCTTCGAGTCTCTTTAGGATAGTATCGCATATTGGGCGTGACATCGGTACTCCGTGCCTGCGCTTGCCTCCTTTGCACCAAAGAGGAAACAAGGACACTGCGCGGGCTGGCGCCCTCCTGACCTTGATCGTCATGGCTTCCGTCATGGGCACCTCGCGAGGTACCCCTTGCCTTGATCTCTCCGCCTCCTCGCGAGCCTGCCTGATGAGGCCACTCCTGAGAAGGCCTTGTGTCGTCCGCCCCGCGTGGCTTGGCCCCTCGCGAGGGTCTTGAGTGTTGGTTGATGAAGACGGGCCGTACTGGGCCACTGGTTGAGCCACACCGCAGGCAGGCAAGTCTGGGGACCCCCGTTCCCAGAACGCCGACAGTCGTCAAGGGTGGAGATGACAGTAAACGTACCGTCAGCGCCAGCCGGCCCTGCTGCGACCTTCTTCATAGCAGGTGCAACAACCTTGGATCTCTTGCTATTGGAACTCTCCGGCAAGTCCTCAATAGGTGCAGCATACTCCGAAGAGGGGCGCTTCACGGAATCCTCGCTGGCATCCTTATTAGCTTTCTTCTTTTTCTTGTTTTCCTTGGCGGGAGCAGGAGCTTCCACGGCCTCTGCAACGACTGCTTCTCGGTACATCTTGTCCATGCATATGATTGTGTCTTTCTTGTCTGATGGAATGGAAATGATGCCCATTGGCCCCGGCATCTTCAGAGTGTTGCAGGCATAGTGGGATGCCGCCATGAATTTGGCCAGGGCTGGGCGACCAAGGATTCCACTGTACGGCGGGGGGAGGTCAACCACATCAAATACAATCTTCTTGGTTCGGTAGTTTAATTCCCCCCCTAACATCACCGGCAGTATGATCTTCCCCTTAGGATGACTCCTGTCGGGGTTGATCCCTTGGAACCTACCAGTAACCTTGGGTTCTTCACTGCTATCTGGAATTTGTTGGTGACCTTTGGAGAAATCAGAATCAACCCTGCCCTGCCATCAACCAACATCTTTGTGACCTTGAGGTTGCGGATTATTGGTGAGACCAACAACGGCTAGCACCCTACCGCGGTGGTGTGGTCAGGGTGGTCCTCTCCATCAAAGATGATGGGCGTGTGGGACCACTTGAGCGGCTTCCGAAAATCCACCGCTGGCTCCATGGCATTGACTTCACGCGCCCACTGTTTAAGTTGGCGGTGAGAGGAGTGCAAAGATGCACCCCCGTCAATGCATAGGGCATTAGTGGCTTTCTGGAACTCCTGCTCGCTGGTTTCCTCTTCATCTCCCTCATCACTCTCGTCATCACAATCCTTCTTCTGACAGCCTTTGACGGGTTTCCCTTGATACTGAGAAGCCTTGCGGGGATGACCTGTTCTGCCACCTCAGCCCTTCCCGCTAGCGCCACCTTGGTCTTTCTCCTTATCACACTTCTCGTACTCAGCCCTTTGCTTCTTGACGAGTTGCTCAACCTGATGACACTCCTGAAGATCGTGGCCTTTGGTCCGATGGATCTTGGAGTACGACCTATCACCCTTCCCAGCTTTCTCGGCAGCCGAGCCTTCCCGGCAATCAGTGCACGCTGCAGCTTCCTTGCCGAGGGCCTCGGTCTTGGCCTTCTAGCCGGTACTAGGTGCACTCGATCCATGAACAGTCATCATGGCTTTATCCTTGCGCTTCTTTTTGTGCTTCTTGTTCTTCTTCTTCTAGTTGGTGACATCGTCCTCGTCCTCTGAGTCAACGTCGACGCCATCCTCCTCACCGGGGAGCTGCCTCCCCTCCTCTATGCGGGCACACTTATCCACCAGAGTATATGTCTCGTTCACAGTCTTGGGAAACATCTCGTTCATTTTGGAATGTATCCTGCGGTTGCGCACGTGTAACATCCCAAATTTTCAAATTTGGTATGTTAATAGGATCATTCTTTTTCATCATGATTCTCTATGCATATTTGAAAATTTCTGATTGTTCAAATCGTTATTGCAAGTTAAGGCAAATATTTGGAGTGGAGATAATATGACTTATCCCCTATAAATTAAATTTAGAAAATGTTAATGATATTATCTGGAGTTTACAGAAACTATTTTGGGATTTTTAGAAATTCAAAATTATTTTATAGTTGTTATAATGCTCTTTATATGCTTGTATTGCATACACGTTTTTTTTTCAAAAGTGAATTTGTGTTGTAAAAATGTTCTCTGTTTTGTATAGTAGTAGTAATGTTTTATCGTGTGTTCTGGTATTTTTAGGAAGTCATATGGTATTTTGTTTTCTTCAATTACACCTCCTACACAATATTATATTTTTCCTAGAATTTACTGTTCATCAGGGCTCCCAGCAGACCATTTCTATTCATCGCCCACTGCGCTGGAGCAGTGCAGCAGCAGCTAGCAGGCCGAAGCCCAGCAAGCAGCCCACCTCGCTGCTCCTTTTTTTTCTCTGCCGCTGACCACCCAGACCCACATGCCATCTCTCTCCTTTCCCGTGTTCTTCCTGGAGACCAGTTTCCGATCCAAATCCTCGCCGACTCGGCTTGGATCTTGCCCCTCTCGCACGAGAACTAATCTATAAATAATCCCCTTGCTCTTCTCTGCCGATTTTTGGCAAAATCCCTCTCTCCCGTGCCGTTTCGCCTCGTTCATATCTCGCCGGAGTTCACCGCCGTCTGAAGCTTCCGCCGGTCGATTGCATCGCCCCTGGAGGTTCCCAGCTTCTCCTCTTTCCCCTAGTATGTTTCCCTTGGTCTCCTATGCCTCCCTCATCTATTATTTCTCGCAAGGAAGCACTACACCGAGTCCATCGAGCTCGTCCGGAGCTCAACTCCACCGCCGCCGCTCCAGCCGGTCGCCACCGCTGTGGGAGCAAGCCCCATTCACCCCTGCGGACGTGTTCGAGTTCACTGACGCCCGCGGCACCTTGTCGTGCCTTCCCAAAGTCCCGGAGGTCCCTGTAACTGCCGCCAACTTCAAATCCAAGCCGCCCTATGGCCGTCGTCTTCCTCAAGTCCGGAGGCCAGCCCCTGTTTCACCGGTGAGTCCCTGTCGTCCGTCCGATCTCCATCCAACCGCTGTAATTAGATCGCCCATGTTTTTTATTTATTTACCGAAACATTTTCCTTTAAGTTGCGGTCGTTCGCTGTTTAGCCACAACAGCAAACCACTCCAGCCTATTACAGTTGCACCATGTGGCAACGTCCCAGCAGTCGCGGTAGTTCTTCCAGGAACACTGTCATGGCACAATTTATTTCGCAGATTTCATATCAAATTTTCGTTTAGGTATATCTTGAGATCCGTAACTCTAAATGTATCGATTCTTTATCCTGAGTACTTGTAACGACCAGGAGAATACTGTAGAATCAAAATTTCACATTTTTTGAGCTGTTTAAATTTGAATTTGCTCAAATTTGAATTTAACCTTCTGGACGCCATATCTTTCAAATCGTTCATCCAAATTAGTTGATTCTTTTTGCACTGTGATCATACTAGCATGTAGATAAGATATACCTACTGTTACATTTTGTTAATCATGTTTTTATTTGAATTCCTTGCTGTTGACTTTATTGTGGTGTTATGTAAGTATGATTTATTTATCAGTGCCTTCGTTAATCGAGAAATAAGAGATCCAGTCAATCCTAGACGCTCTCAGAGCTCACGCGATTCTGGCCGTCCGATTCATTTACTTGATGCGTTTCCGGGCGTCCGATCGAGCCCTCGGATGATCTGGGCCGCCGGATCATAACCGAGCCCCTGTAGCAATGAACAGTTTCACTTCGCGGTAAATATCTGCTGCCACCGCCGGTTAATACAGCACCCCGCCGAGGGCAATTTTGGGATTTCACCTAGGCCGGTGGAACGTGCCCTCTCCCGATTCGCCGCCCTCTCCCCAATCGAAGAGACGCGTAGGGTTTGACCTCTCCTCGCTTCTTTCCCGCATGTCTCTCTCTCTCTCTCGCAGTCGTCGTCGCCGCCAGCCATCCTCCCCATCGCCCCCTTTCCCCGCCCGTCCCGCTCGCCGTGGCCTTCGCCGATGACCGCGGCCCTGCGCAGCACAGTGCCGAGCTCATGAGAATGAGAGGAGAGGAGCCGCCACCCAACCCAACCCATCCAACCAAGGAGCCCGTCCCATCCCACTCCCCACGACGTCTCCCCTCCCATCTCTCTCGCACCCACCTCGCCGCCGGCCATGGCCGCCCTCATCCTCTCCTCCCCTCCCCTCCCCTCCTCTCCTCCTCCCCCGTCATCAGAAGAGAAGACAAGACGAGATGGAGGGAGATCCACCGCGACTCAGCTGGTCAGGCGGCGCGCCCAGATCCGGCCTTGCTCTGGCCATCGCCGATGAGCTGCGCCCAGTTCAGCCATGGCGCGACCGAGCAGGCGAGGAGGGAGACTAGCTAGGAGTCCCCCCTCTCTCTCTCGGGGGGCGCCGCCCTTCATCTGCTCCCGCGATGGCGCCGGATCCACATCCACAGCCACGGCGCCGGCACCCATGGAGTGACCGTGTGCTTCTTCTCCATGGACATGGAGCTCCCACAACACACCATGGAAGGCCTGGAGCTCCTTCTCACAGCAGGTCCCTCTTCTCCTCCCCACCTCCGCACTGCTCTGCTCTGTTCTGTTCGATTGGATTTGGCCTCTCCCCTCTCTCACTCTCTCCCTGATTCATGCGCGCAGGTGCACCGCGTACAGGAGGGAAGACCAACGCTCCTCCGGGTCTGCTTCTTCCCGGGTCGCCGTTGCTCCACGGAAGGTATCACACCCCCTCTCTCATGCTCTGGTTGTCCACCCCCACTCTCATGCTCTGATTCATAGTAGGAAATTTCAGGGATGGAACTGAGATTACATGTGAAATTTAAGGAGATGTTTTTTTGCATATGCTAATATTGTACCACTAATTGCAGGCGGAAAGTCATAGAAGATGGTTCATTAGCTTCAAACAGATCAGTGGTTACTGAATCAGTCTCAAAATCTTGTTCCTCCGCAGAAGTGAAAGATGAAGATGCTGCAATTGCAGTTGTGATTGATGCAGCTGAACTTAAATGGTTAGAATACAACATTTCCTTCTTGCATAAGTCAGCAGCTAGATTTTTTGGTACCTTTTCTGATAATCATATTTAATGGTGCATGCAGGGGAGAGCAGTCATTTAGGAGAGGACAAGCTCCTGGAAGGTTTACATCAGGACGCCATAATGGTAATGCAGAAATTCCCTGTCTTCAGTGTCATGTTCTTTTGAGTTATGATTATGCTAGCAGATAATATGAAAAGATTCTCTTAAAAATCAAAGCCATTGTTATGATGAAAAAGAGTGTGTAGGTGTTCAAGCTTTGCGGACACCAGATTTCTTTTCTTTTTGGCACGGTAGACCATGTTTCAATTGGATCTTTTTTGACAGTAACTAGACAATTGTTTCCAGCCCATTAGACAACCTTTGAACTCTAGCAGATTTTCATACAAATTTTGATAGATTCACGGTTTTTTGTGAATATGTGAACTATACCGCTGCATAATATGCTTGTGTTGTTCTGTGAATGTGTTCAGAATACTGTTTAACATGTGCTCTGTTTGACAAATCTTTCAAATTGAAGGCCATGGATCATCAGAAAGGGAGGCACCTCCACCCGGCTATGTGTGCCGCAGCTGCGGAGTTCCAGGCCATTTCATTCAACATTGCCCACAGGAAAACCAGATGCCTCCACCTGGCTATACCTGCTACAGATGCCGGGTTCCAGGGCATTTTATTCAGCATTGCCCAACCATTGGCGGTTCCAAGGCAGTTTATATTTACTGTGATGTTAGTGTTCTTTATTAGCATGATAGCATCTTCACTTTGTTTTTTCAAATAAATTCATTGTTCAGTATTTACTGCTCTACTTTATTCATAAATCCATTGTTCATTTTTGTTTATTAAAATAGCCATGTCTATCTGCTATTCCTAGGATTTCCTTAAATAACTATGCTAATAAATATGTCCATCTCGGAGAGAATTAATCTTGCTTCCTTGCAGACTCTGAACATGAGGACCATGTGGACTAAACTTGCATGTGGGTGCACCAAGGAGAAGGTCCCACTTATCAAGGGATAACAACTAATTGGTCAGACTTTGTGAAGACAGGGGTTGGATAATTTGGAGAATGTCTTTGCATTCAAGGCTAAAAGGGGCAAAGTGTCGCTCGTTGTCTACCTGTTTTGACAAGGTTGGTTACAAGGTTGTCATCATACTATCCATGCAAATGTTTCCTGTGATTTCATCTGCTAAACAATGATGCATTAGCAGAACTATATAGGTTCATTGTGAGCGTTCGCTTGGACTTATCTCACACCGTTGATCTGGCTCGCTTTGGTTATGTAATAAGCCAACTATTGTATCTACTTAGTGTTGATCCATCAGCTTGGCTTACTTTTGGAACATACTACGTATTCCTCCATTTGTCATGAACTTTTAGATCTAATGTTTCATGCTTCTGGTATATTTGATGGCCTTACCTTTTGTCATTGTTTGGACAAATTGCTCTACACTGGACACTTATGTATCAAGGCAATGCCATGCTTCTGATGCAACCTTATTGTATTGGACTGATCCATTATTTGAGCAATCACTCTAGTTTTCCTTTGCAATGGTTAATACATTGTTTATGCGCTTGGACAATAAGTTGAGTCAGGCACCCACGAGAATTGATTTGGTGTATGGCACTGTACCCGCGAGAAATTTTATGCAGTTGATTTCTATCTAAATATTCCTTGGGCCAGTTCATAGATAATGATTCTGTACTATAGCTGTATTATCGGATTGGATAACCTTTTTTGTATGTACTGGGAGTGGAGGTTTCCATGTCTATTGAGCATTGATCGGTTAGAACAGCTGATGAAGAATGGAGCCCTTTGGTTGGAATTTCTTATATAACTTGCGGCGTCGTAGGTTCCATAGAATTTGTTAAGGAAAGTGCATCGAATAGAAATGGCTTTTGCTAAGAGAACAGGGTATACTTTTTGTGATGCATGGCGGGTTGTCCTTTTAGCTTCTTAGTCATTGTGTATGGATGGTTTGGTTAATGCCGGTTTTAATCGCTGACATGATCTTGGAGGTTTGGTTCAATTAAAAATATCATGTCATGTTACCAGCATAGATGCTATTTTCTTATAACTACCCCTTTCTTCCTGTCACAGTAGCACCATTCCAGATTGTGCATTAATAATGAAAACCTATCTATGATCTGTTGGTCTGATCCATTTATTCTTTTTTTATTTATGTGATGACTTTTCTGATTACAGGAAGCTGAAGGTGTTACCATTCATGGACATGGAACAGAAGCTGCCCGGATATTGTGACAACAAATGGAGGTTAAATCGGGAAGCGAAAGCCAGGTGATACCTTGATCACTATCTTTACTACTCTCATGCATATTCTACTGTCGAAATCTAGATGCAGTATTTCCACATTGGAAAACTTTGTATGGTCCATGGACTGAAAGTTTATTTGTTTTGGGGAACTCTCATCGGTAGGATTTTGCACTAGGACGCTTTTTATGGGCATATACAACATTATTTTTTACTGATGTCTGATTATTGTAGCTTCAAACTATTCCCTGTGATGTTTTTCTTGAACTATATTCACTGTGGTGTTTGTACTACTGCATTTATTCCTCAGAACATTTGACGGCCCAGTAATAATAGTGCTAATACAAACTTTATGAAGGTTCAAGTATTTGGGTTCTAGCTCCAGATTGGATATGGTAGCTGCTTATTGATTTTCCTATTCATCTGGCAGGATTAAGGCATTGTTGTTACTTGCCTACCAATTTTAAGCTGACAGTTTCTTATTTTACTTTCGTCTGAATATTGGGATGCCTAGCAAATCAACTCTTTTGTACTCGACAATTCTGAGTTTGATCGTTAAATCTGAATATAGTTTAGAAATAGTTTTTTATGACTTGGACTATTGGTTTCGTTTCCTTCGGCCTTTGTTTGTGCTCCAACAGCAAATAGGCACATGGGGCATGCCACCACGCCGTAAATTTGGGTGGCCGCTGAGGGCACTTTTGACATTTCGCTTACCCCTGCGCAATGTGCCTTCCTTCGATTCATTGCTCTTTGCCCAATCGACGAGACGCTTAGGGCTGCGGCCGCCAGCCCTATACCTCCCGCTCTCTAATCTCTCGAGCGCCGCAAAGAGCTTACTATTTCCATTTGCTCAGCAAAGTTTTGAGATATTCCATCCTAATTATCTAATTGTAATGCTTTTATGATGCAGGACTATTATCTTGTGATGTGGCTTTCTTGTATCACATTTGCCTTGCTTCTCCTGAAAGAGATACCATTTTGTTGGTGTTTACTGGTTAATCCTTTTGCATATGTTTACGGATGGATACTCGATGTTCTCGGTTCATATCGTTGCTGATACTTGCCTTCTCTTGCTGATTTCCCAAATCATGCACATAGCTATTTTAGTATGGGTTACAATATCCCTTTGTAAAAAAGCATATATGTATGTTACCTTTTGTGTGAGTGAAATATTCATCAGCATTGTAGTGGACATATGCTCTTTGTACTAAATTTGATGTTTTCTACTGAATCATTCGATTCTTGGTACCGGACTAATGCTTCCCTGAGAAATAGCAGGCGCTGGATCATTGCCTTAGATAGTCTTCCTCATGTGTCTTTGAGAAATCCTAATGCTAGATCAGTGGCTCAAATTTTGCTTTTGTATCTATTTGGCGCCACTCTATCTATATCTTTTTTGTACCACCTTCATTGCAATTACGAATACAATGTTTGGGCGGACATAAGCTTCGACTGCTTTGAGTTGTTTACAGGGCACACTGAGTTGTTTTAGTTCTGATGAAGATGCCGTTGGATCGATGTTGTTCTTACACCTTTGATTTGATACATTTATTACCAGGTTGGATACGACCGCACCGGCAGGGGTGCAGGTTGCGGCAAGCCGCAGCTTCCATCTAGTCATATAGATTGTCCAGAGTGCGAAGCAAATCAGAATTAATCGTTAGGGTACTTCAACATCGTTCAAGGCAAGTTTGCACTTTTGATTTTGCTCATTGTATATTATGCTATGCATGTGTGATTTTAAGCTATGGTAAACGTTTGGCCTGATATGTGTATCTCATGTTGTCATGTTTGGTATTGATTGTGTTATGTGATGGTGTGATCAACTTGCTATGGTAGACGTGGGCATGTGTCGAGTGATCCATGATAGTGGTGAGTGTTTATAGATGTAGGCTTGGGATTATTAAATAGGTGAATGCGTCATTGGCAGAGCGCTCTATTGTCCCTAGAGAATGCACCATTGACAGAGCACACTTGAGGCGAGGTATAGTTTTTGGAACTTAAATCTGGTGAATGCGTCCTTGGCAGAATCCCTCTCTCCCGTGCCGTTTCGCCTCGTTCAGATCTCAAGGGAGTTCACCGCCCTCTGAAGCTTCTGTCGGTCGATTGCATCGCTTTTGGAGGTTCCCAGCTTCTCCTGCCCCCTCTCTCCCGTGTTGTTTCGCCTCGTTCAGATATCGTCGGAGTTCGCCGCCGTCTGAAGCATCCATCGGTTGATTGCATCGCCTCTGGAGGTTCCCAGCTTCTCCTCTCGCCCCTAGTATATTTCCCTTGGTCTCCTTCTCCTCCCTCATCTATTATTTCTTGCAGGGAAACACTACACTGAGTCCATCGAGCTCGTTCGGAGCTCAACTCCGCTGCCGCCGCTCCAGCCGGTTGCCACCGTTGGGGGAGCAAGCCCCATTCACCCCTGCGGACGTGTTTGAGTTCACCGACGCCCACGACACCTTGTCCTGCCTTCCTAGAGTCTCGGAGGTCCCTGTAACTGCCGCCAGCTTCAAATCCAAGCCGCCCTATGGTCGTCGTCTTCCTCAAGTCCGGAGGCCAGCCCCAGTTTCTCCGGTGAGTCCCTGTCGTCCGTCCGATCTCCATCCAACTGATGTTATTAGATCGCCCATGTTTATTTATTTATTTACCAAAACATTTTCCGTTAAGTTGCGGCCATTCGCCGTTTAGCCACAACAGCAAACCACTCCAGCCTATTACAGTTGCGCCATGTGACAACGTCACAACAACTGTGGTAGTTCTTCCAGGAACACTGTCATGGCACAATTTGTTTCGCAGATTTCATATCAAATTTTCGTTTAGGTATATCTTGAGATCCATAACTCTAAATTCATCGATTCTTTTTCCTCAGTACTCGTAGTGACCAGGAGAATACAGTAGAATCAAAATTTCACATTTTTTGAGCTGTTTAAATTTGAATTTGCTCAAATTTGAATTTAACCTTCCGGAGGCCATATCTTTCAAATCGTTGATCCAAATTAGTTGATTCTTTTTGCACTGTGATCCTACTAGCATGTAGATAAGATATACCTACTATTATGGTCTGTTAATTATGTTTTTATTTGAATTCCTTGCTGTTGACTTTATTGTGGTTTTATGTGGGTATGATTTATTTATCGGTGCCTTTGTTAATCGTATAGATTGTTCGGAGTGCGAAGCAGATCGGAATTAATCGTTAGAGTACTTCAACACCGTTCAAGGAAAGTTTGCACTTTTGATTTTGCTCATCCTATATTCTGCTATGCATGTGTGGTTTTATGCTATGGTAAACGTTTGGCCTGATATGTGTATCTCGTGTTGTCATGTTTGGTATTAATTGTGTTATGTGATGGTGTGATCAACTTGCCATGGTAGACGTGGGCATGTGTCGAGTGATCATGAAAGTGGTGAGTGTTTATGAGGGTGTTTGTTTCCAGGGACTTATTGGTTTAGGGACTTGAACAAGTCCCTATAAGTCCCATCTAAACCAAATAGGAGGGACTTATAGGGACTTAAAGTGGGCATTTGGGACTTATGCAATAAGACTCTCAAGGAGAGTCTTATAGGGACTTATAGTTGTAATATGGTCTTATAGGGACTTATAAGTCCCAGGAACCAAACAGGTAGGGACTTTTTAGGGACTTGGGACTTATAAGTTGGGACTAAAAAAGTCCTAGGACTTATGAACCAAAGAGGGCCTATAGCCGTAGGCTCGGGATTATTAACCAAGTGAATGCGTCACTGGCAGAGCGCTCTATT